CCTCATTATTGTTATCCTTCTTTTACTCTTTAAAATAAAATAAATAAATAAATCCCTGCTGGGCATGGTGGCACACGCCTGTGATCCCAGGACTGCGGAGCCCTAGGCCAGCGGATCGCTTGGAATTCGAGCTACAAAGTGAGATCAAGCCCGGTAACTGAACTGCACAGTAAACACCGTCCCCACCGAAAAAAAAAAAAAGGAAATCAAAATGCTCGAGTTAATTTGTACAGGAAACAAAGTCTGAGTCCCAGGTCTCACCAACCCAGTGAGAGCGCCGGTCCCCTGGTTCCTTTGGCGGCGAACCCGGGTCCTCAGGCCCCGGCCCCTGAGACCCCAGGCCAGGCAACAACGGCCCCTTCTCCTCCGGACCCCAGCTCTACCGGCCCCCCTGGCCCCGACTATTCAGACCCAGGCTCTCCCGGCCTCGCCTTCCCGAACACACTCCTGGGACCACGTCTCCCTGGCCACCTGGCTCAGCCCCGCATCCTCGGCCCCTTGGCTCCGGCCACGCCTCCTGGTCCCTGTCGCCCCGCCCAACACCTCGACCCCGCCTCCCCGGCAACGCCTTCCCAGTCACGTTGCTTGGGCCACGCCTCCCAGGCAACACCACCCTGGCTCCGCCTCCAGGGCCGCACCTACCCTGCCAGGTTACGCGATACTCTGCCCCGCTACCCTGGGCTCTGCCTCCCGGCCCAGCCTGCCAGGCCGAGCTCACGCGTTCCTCGGCCCCGCCCACACGTACGCCGGCCCCAAAGCCGCACCCAGCCCATTGACGTTGGGCCCAGCTGGCTGCGGGGTTCAGCGCTCCTGCGAGCAGGGCGCGGCCCGGGTCTCCAGCGTCCACGAGGGACCTCCAAGGAAGCTCGCTCGGGAGGCAGAGGAGGAATCCGCCGCAGGTCAGGCGGGGGCGCGGCGCGGGGAGCGGGAGAGGGCGCCGGGCCGCGAATGAGGTGCGTGCCCTGAGGGCCGCGGCGCCCCTCGAGGAGGATCCCAAGGACACGGGATTGGGCTCAGGGGCCCGGACCACGGCCTGGGAGGACCCGCGGAGGCCCTGAGTCCCCAAAGCCTGAGTCCCCCAACTCCTCTGAAACTTCTTGAGGCGCGGGCTGCGCAGGCGCAGGTCTCCGCCCTGCTTTGATGGTTGCGCTCAGGACCCCACTTCTGCGCCTCCTGGTCCGGCTGCTGCTGCTGCTGTCGGACCCTCTCTGGGCGGCCTGCGCTGGTGAGTCCCCGCGCTGCGCCCCCCATGGCTT